TCCCCTCCCTCGCCCCCATCCAAGCCCTCAGAGGCTGGATCTGGACCCAGACAATCCCCACATGCTGCCGCCAACATCACTGGTGGTCCAAGATCGTTGGAATTGAAGACAGAGCTCAAGTCTTGCTCATGAGACTTCTGGGCAGCACATCTGTCCCTCTCTGGGTCTCTGGGACCCTCCTAAGCTAGACCCAACCTCCAGCCTCCCCTGAAGCATCTCTTCCTGTCTGTCCCCCCAATATTCACTCACTCACTGCTGCTATGCTCTTCCGTAGCCCCCAGCTGGGCTCTGTGCTGGGTGCTAGGGACACAAGCTCATCTGCTGGCAGCCCGACCACAAACACACACATGCACGTACTAAACACCAGATGACAAGGTTCTACGTAGATAAATAGCACCAAGAGGCTCAGGAGCATGAGAGGGTAGTCAGAGTAGGTTTCCGAAGGGAGGGGATGTCTGAGCCAAGGCCCAAAGGCTGAGAAGGAAGGACAGGCACCAAATCTTGGTGCAGAAATGACCTTAGCCCTTTTCAGGAAGAGCAGGGATGCCATTGCAGCTGGAGCAGAGACCCAGGGGAAGGTGGGAGACACGACGGGTCACTGTGGACTTTGGTTTTCACCCAGATCGAGATGCAGCCAGGGAGGCGCTGAGCCAGGAGCGCCCTGACCCAACTTGGAGCATCACAGGCTCCTTCTGGAAAGCAGACTGCAGAGGGCCTAGGGGTGAGAGGATGGAGGCTGGGCCAGGGCAGGGGCAGTGGGGGAGAAGAGTGCTAGTCAGGATCACTAAGAATTTCTACTTTCTATATTAAAGATCTTGTGAATTTGGGATCCCTGGGTGGCGCAGCGGTTTGGCGCCTGCCTTTGGCCCAGGGCGCGATCCTGGAGACCCGGGATCGAATCCCACGTCGGGCTCCCGGTGCATGGAGCCTGCTTCTCCCTCTGCCTGTGTCTCTGCCTCTCTCTCTCTCTCTGTGACTATCATAAGTAAATAAAAATTAAAAAAAAATGTTAAAAAAAAAAAGATCTTGTGAATTTGACGTGGGTATTATTATAAGCAAAAAATGTAGATAACATTATATATGTGTGTGTGTATATACAAACACACACACACACACACACACACATATATATATATAAACATTTTAAAATTGTTTTAGGTTGGGACGCCTGGGTGGCTCAGCGGTTGAGCATCTGCCTTTGGCCCAGGGCGTGATCCTGGTGTTCCAGGATCGAGTCCCACATTGGGCTCCCTGCATGGAACCTGCTTCTCCTTCTGCCTGTGTCTCTGCCTCTCTCTCTGTCTCTCATGAATAGATAAATAAGATTTTTTTAAAAAATTGATTTTAAATAATCTCTATGTCCAACATGGGGCCTGAACTCACAACCCTGAGATCAAGTCACATGCTCTACCAACTGAGCCAGTTAGGCACTTCAAATATATAGGTAAAAAACAAAAACAAAACAAAACAAAACAAAAAACAAAAAAAAACCCCAAATATATAAGTAATATTTATAAACAGAAAAAGAATTTAAAACAACAAAAATAACCTCCCCAGAGGCTCTGCCTCTGGGAAACCTTCCTCAAATGACCTCAGAAGTTAAAGGCCTGTCTACACCTGAATCCATGTGTGAAAACCTCCTGTTGGAGGATGCCATGACCCACACCCGAACCACCAGCGTGCGGAGGCTGAGGCTGCCCCGGTCAGCCCAGGGACTCTGTCCTGTGCCCAGCACTATCCTGACCCATTCCCACTATGATCCAGGCCCCACCGCACCACCTGGACGGTGGAAGCAGCCCCCTCCCAGGTCTCCCTACTCCTCTTGTCTTCTGTAGCCTGCTCCCCACACACAGTCAGAGGGAGCCTACGAACATCTGAGTCAGGCCAGGACTCTGCTGCCTCGGAGCCCTCCCCTGCCTCCCCTGGTTCCCACTTCCCCCTGCCAGAAGAGAGGCCCCTCTTCAGCTCCTGTACCTAACTGAGCTCCCTTCCACCCCATGTTTGCACATGCTGGGCCCTTTCCCGGGGTGCTCTTGTCTCTTCTTCAGTTTTTTTTTTTTTAATATTTTTTTAAATTTTATTTATTTATGATAGTCACACACACACACACAGAGAGAGAGAGAGAGAGAGAGAGAGAGAGAGAGAGAGATTGGCAGAGACATAGGCAGAGGGAGAAGCAGGCTCCATGCACCGGGAGCCCGACGTGGGATTCGATCCCGGGTCTCCAGGATGGCGGCCTGGGCCAAAGGCAGGTGCCAAACCGCTGCGCCACCCAGGGATCCCTCTCTTCAGTTAACTCTTCCTATTCTCCAGGTCTCTGCTCAGGCGTCACCTCTTTCAGGAAGTCCTCCCAGACCTCACTGATAGGTCAAGTCCCCCAGTATCGGCTCTCTCGGCTCTGTGATCTCTTCCTAATGGCCCCTGTGTCTCTGACATTTCATGTTTGTTCCTGTGAATATCTTGCTAACATCTACCTCATACACTGGACAGAGCTAAAAACAGAGACCTCTTCAGACTTGGCCCTTGGCATGACACAAATGCTCAAAAAACACCTAGGAGGTAAAAAAGGAACCAGTTCTCTGAGCATACTGACTCCCACAGTCATGCAGACTGAGGCGATAATTCTAACTATAGTTCATTCTTAGGGAAAGTAAATTTCAGTAAGTTTTTTATTTTGCAAAATGAAGTTAATTACACCATTTTCTGAGTCTTATTTTATGGATTCAGTTCAGTATTCAACAATGATTCATTGAGCGTTTTCTCTGTCCTCGGCATTATTCCAGCTGCTGGCGGAAATGCACAGTATGTTACAGGGTGCTGGGAGCTAAGGACAAAAATCAAGTAAAGTGGAAAACAGAGAAGATTTAAATTTCATACTGAGATCTATGAAGGCCTCACATTTGGAGGGTGACATTTAGTGGAGGGGGCGCCTGGGTGGCTCAGTCGGTTAAGCATTCAGCTAGGGTCAGGATCCCAGGGTCCTGGGATCGAGCCGCACATCTGGCCCCCTGCTCAGCAAGGAGTCTGCTTCTCCTTCTCCCTCTATCTGCTCATGCTTTCATGCTTTCTCTTTCTCTCCCTCCCTCAAATAAATAAATCTTAAAAAAAAAAAAAAAGACTGGAAGGGTGGGGTAAGCCATGTGAAGCCATATAAAAAAGAACTATGCGAGTGTGGGGTACACAGCATATGCAAAGGCCCTGAGGTGGAGGTTACCTGGGATACTGGGATGTCTGAGGAGTAAGGGGGGGGGACAGAGAGGAGGACGTGAGTTGATGCATGCAGAGGCCCTCCGTGTTCCAACTTCTCCCAACACGTCCAGTCTCATCACTTACCCTGACCCCCCTCACACTCTCTGCTGTTCCCTCCACCTGGCATGCCCCTCCCTCTCCTTAAGTTGTCCTTTCCTCATCTTTCGGGTCTCAGCTCAGGGATCCCTTCCTTCAGGAGGCCCCTTCTGATACTTCCAGGAGGAGTCAGGCACCTCTCTGGGCGCCCTCAGTTCCCTGGGCCTTTCCCAGCCGGGATCGGCCCCCTCTGCCTGTCACTGTCCAGAGATGGCTAGGTGTCTCTCCCTGCTGGACTGGGGGCTCCACGAGAGGAGGGCCTATCCTGGTTATCACACAGAGCAACGTACAGCCAAGTATTTGTTCAATAAATAAATGAATGAGGGGGGGTCTCACGTGGATGCGGCAGCCGTCGTCTACGGGGTACGAACCCAGCAGCGCATCCTCCTGGTCCAGCTTGCTGTAGAACTTGTCGTCAGCTCCATACAGCTCCAGTTCCATGCAAGACGCAGGACTGCCCACCACCAGCTCCAGTTTACACTGCGGGGGAGCAGCCGGTGGAAGCCGGTGGAAGCCGTCAGCGGCCCCACCCTCTGCCCTGAGGCTCCACCCCTCGCTACATACATTCGCAGGTTTGTACTTGCGTATTTATTTATTTATACATTTTTTAAAGTAGACTGTACGCCCAACGCGGGCCTCGGACTCACGAGCGGAGATGGAGAATCGCCAGCTCTTCCAGCTGAGCCCGCCAGGCGCCCCGAGGGTCCGCCCCTTGCAACGACCATCACCCCATCCCCGCTCCTCCAAGGGACCCACCATTTAGGAGCCACCCGGTTATCCTTGGCCACGCCCTATGCAACCTCTAATTTTCCCTGGCTTCGCCCCCCATTTCTGGAACTTCAAGTTCGCCCCGGCCCCATCCGCCCGCGGCCCAGCCCCCAGGCGGTTCAACCCGGGTTGGTCCCGGCCCCTCCTCGCCGTCGGGAAGCCCCTCCGGGCCTTCCTTGCCCCGCCCCCTCACACCTACCCCGCCCCCGGGCCCCGCCCCCACGGCCACACCTTGAACTCCGCTATGGTGAGGCTGCGACTGTACCGCTTTTCAGAGCGGAAGCTGTTGAGAGAGCTGCTGATGAACACGGTCACGGTGGGCGCCGACAAGCCCGTCACCTCCATCTCGCCGCGCCCTGCCGGGGTCCGCAGCCCGGCCGGTCGCCTCACACCGGCTCCGCAGCCGCCGCCGCCGCCGCTTCTGGGATATCGGCCCCGCCCCCTGCTCCCGACCCGGCCAATCCTCGCCCTCCCGCGAGCAGGGCCCGCCAATCGCCGCCGTCCCTTTCCACGCCAGGAAGAGGCCTCCCCCGTGCTCTTGGGTGGGCCCAGCCAATCCCGAGAGGCCTTCCATGGAGCACAGTTCTTCCAATAGCCGCCCGGGAAACGGCCCGGCGGACGGCGGCTGAAGCCCACAGGAAGGACTGGCAAGTTACCTCGTCCGCGCATGTGCACTGGCCGTCAGCCAGGGACTGTGCAATGGCTTCATTCAGGCTCCGTGCCTTGCTTATTACGAGAAGCATCGTGTTCCTGGCTCTCGTCCCATACTGCTCTACAAACTGGGGAAGCGAGGCTCGAAAGGCGGAAACAATTACCGCAGGGTATCAGAAAAATTAAAGCAAGTTGTTAATGGAACCTCGGCGGAGAGAGCCGAGCACAAAGCCGCTGGGAGCCGGTGCGCGTGTGTAGCCCCGCCCCGCCGTGGCGCGAAGCAACTAGGCGTGACCCTTCCCGCGACCCGTCGCGCGGCGGAGCCAGTGCGCAGGGCTCGGCGGGCCCGGCGTCGCTATGGAGCCAGACGGGACCTATGAGCCGGGTTTCGTGGGTATTCGATTCTGCCAGGAATGGTGAGGCCGGGGCTGCGAGTGCGCAAGGGGAGCAAGTAACGGCCCCAGGACTGACCTCTGGCTTCCTCCTCCCCGCAGTAACAACATGCTTTATCCCAAGGAGGACAAGGAGAACCGCATCCTGCTCTACGCGGTGAGCGCGGGCGGCCGCGGCGCCCGGGTCCCCCCAGAACGGTCCCCGGTTCCCGGCGTGGCCCCAACCTACTCCACGTGCCCCTTACCCCTCTCTGCGCCCCCTTCGTGTTTTGGTTTCCTTTTCTATCCCCTGGGTGAACCCTAGTCTCTTGTGTGGCCCATCCCGGAGGTGATTCCCAACATACTCCGTTACCCCAACTTGGAGACCCCGTGCTTTAGTCATCGCCTCCGGGGAAGGCCCAGCCTTCCCTTCCAGTCCCCCCCGGATCTCTCCGTGACCCCCTCCCGCCATGCTCGCCCTCTCTAGTGCCGGAATTGCGATTACCAGCAGGAAGCCGACAACAGCTGCATCTATGTCAACAAGATCACGCACGAAGTGGAGTGAGTGGCAGGACTAGAGCCTGGGGACGGGGTTGTTGGCTGGGGAGGCCTCATCTGGGCCTAATTATTCACTTCTGCTCCCCCAGCGAACTGACCCAGATCATCGCCGACGTGTCCCAGGACCCCACGTTGCCGCGGACCGAGGACCACCCGTGCCAAAAGTGAGCGCGCTGTTGGTGCTGGCGCTGGAGAGCGGCTCGTCCTTAACGGGTGGACGGAGGAGGGGAGGGTATGGTAGGCTGAGTGGCTGCCTGTCCTCCCAGGTGTGGCCACAAGGAGGCGGTGTTCTTCCAGTCACATAGTGCCCGGGCTGAGGTGAGTGGCAGGAGGACTTTGCACGTCGCAGGGTTGGCCCTCCCCGGGCAGGGATGCCAATATTGGGGGGAACCCTGGCCTTCCGGGTGTCCCCCTTCTCAATGGGGAAAGCCCCTTTGCCTGTTATCTCGGGGTGAGGGTCTGCTGGATGTTCTGTGTTGTACCCTTCCATGAGGTCCAGACCTTTCCTAACTGCAACCTTTCTGCCAGGACGCCATGCGCTTGTACTACGTGTGCACGGCCCCACACTGTGGCCACCGCTGGACCGAGTGAACTATCCTCCCCCGTGTGTAATAAATGCTGTGTTTTGTGTGTGCATTTCCTGCATTTATTTGCCTCTCGGAGTTGTGTGGGATGCACATTCTCAGGCAGCGCGATGTAGAGCACGGTGCTGCACGTAGGCGTCGGGCCTCGAGCAGGTGAAGCCACAGTCCTCACACACATGCAGCTTCTCACGGCGCTCACGGTAAGCATAGCTGGCCGGCTGCCCGTGCACCTTGGCGAGATGAGCTTCAAGGGAGCAGCGCTGTGTAAATGCTTTCCCGCAAGCTCCACAGCGGAACGGCCGGATCCCTGTGCAGAAGGGCAGAGGGGGGAGGACAGACAGGGGAGTGGCCTCCAAACCAAAACCTTCCCACCATGCCTTCCAGGAGCATTCCTGCATCCCTAATCCTAGTTGTCCAGACTCCTCTGCCCACGTCCCACCGTGTGCTACCTCCACCCATTGCAAACATGGGCCAGACACGTGTGTTCCCCCTCTGTTCATCAGGAGTTTCCTTCCCCAGGGGGAGAAGGAAGGAGGCTTTGCCTTACATCTTTCTGTTTAGGACCTAAATCATGCAACTACTATGGTCTTCATCTGTACCCCTCAGCAGGCTGCTTGCTACCCTGGCACCACCTTATACCTACTGGATGGGATTCTTAAATAGGAGGTTTTCCAAGCCTCCTGTTGGCTGAGTCTCCACCCCAAAAACACAAATGCTGGAAACTCCACATCCTGGGGACCTTTCTCCCAATTTTGTTCCCAACCTTCCTGGGGCCCAACCGCCTTTCCCTATCCCTGCCCCTCCTCACCAGTGTGAGTCCTCATGTGACGCTTGAGGTCGAAGGCATCGTGAAAGCCTTTGCCACAACAGCGGCACACATGGCGGCGTGCAGGGCTGTGGCACTTGAGGTGCCGTGTCAGCATGCGCTGCAAAGGGAAGGCCTTGGGGCAGAGTGGGCAGCCAAGCGTCCCGGGGCCCCTGGGACTGGAGGCCAGACTGCCCTGCCTCGGCTGTGGGAGGCACATGGGAGTTAGAGCCCCTGGGAGTTAGAGCAAACGGAATACCTAGAACCAGGAACCAAGGAGGTCTGGGAAGGCCCGAGACTGCTCTTTGTGTGTGAAAATGCTACCCTCTCTCCAAGGCCTTCCCTGGCCCTTCCCCATTGCCTTTACCTTGCTTTATATTTCTCCATAGCACATCTTCCAACATAATATATATTTTTCTAATTTTATTATCTATAGCTATAGCCCCCACCAGCTCCAGGAAGGAATGAATTTTTGTCTCATTCCTGGTAAATATCCATTCAGGAAAGCCGTTCCTGGCTTTCAACAAATACTGATATAATCTCAGTCACATATATAATCTGGCTAGTGCTTTCCTTCTTCCAGGTCATGCATAGCTGAATACCCCTTCAGAGGGTCCCCAGCCTTCCCCCACCCCCCATCTTGTTCCTGTCACTTTTGTCTGATCTGACATAAAGCAAATCACCATCCACTTGGCTTGAATCTTGTTTTGCCCCACTGGACAGAGAGACCTCTGGGAGTAGGAAATGTGGCTGCCCACTCGGGAAATGGTGCGTGGGCTGAAGCCTAACAGTAAGCTCTATTAAGAAAGGAAAGGCATTTCCAGCAGAGAGAACAATAGATGGAAAGGTCCTGAGGCTGGAGAGGCAGGTGCAAATGGGCTCAGGAAGTAAGGGGCAGTCAGGTTCTGTCTCGGCTGAGAGTGAGCAGGGTCCTGTGCTCCAGCTGCAGACTCACCGCCGCCCAAGAGTCCCGGAGGCCAGAAGACTGGCGTGCTGGTGGGCCCTGCTGGTTGCTGCAGTCTGAGGAGAGAAACCCAGATGGTGATGCTTTGTGTCTCACCTACCCTTCACCTCCAGGCCCAGTGAGGGGCCCACCTGGAACATAGGCATCTCCTCGAAGCTGGTCAGGCAGGTGGCCCCAGTTGGGTGGCTGTGGACGCCGACTCCTGACCAGGAAGGCACGGGGCATCACCAGGAATGGTGAGATGGCCTTAGATGGATGCCTGCCTCTTCCACTTGCAGTCACACCTCAGCCCCAGGATGACTAGGAGGGGGAAGGAAAGGAGGGAGGGAGCCTTGGAGGAGCCTCATTCTCTCCATGCAAATTTTGTGACCAGCCCAGGGAGCTGACTTAGCTGGCTCCAGTTACCTCTGCCCCAGGACCCACTGTTCCTCTCCCTTCTACACCAGGTTCCTGAGGGCACTTTCCTGCCACCAGGGGCCTGCCAAGTGCTAGGACCCCCCCAAGAACATCAAGCAAGGGCAAGATTGGAGCCTAGACAGCTCCTGGAAGGGGGAAAAAAGAGATTCTGGGCGGGGGGGCTGTCTTCTCAAAGTAGCAGCAGGGCCCAGGACCTGAGGGTCTGTTTGCCAGGCAAATCAGCCGCCAATCGGACATCCAACAGCCTGCCTGGTTATTCAAATCACAGCAGCTGTCTGAGGAAGCTGAGGGGGTGGGGTGGGGTGGGGTGGGGTGCTGTGATTGCTTGCCCCAGAGGGTGGAGGGACAGTAGGGTCCAGCAGGTAAGGACAAAGGGAGGATAGAGGCTATGCATCTTCCAACAGGAGGCTCTACCTCTCAGATTCTCAAACGCCCAGAGCAGACGTTCAGACCAGAAGCTGTTGAGATGTAGCAGGTATTAAAATATTGGTAAATAAATAAATAAATAAATAAATAAGTAAGTAAGTAAGTAAGTAAGTAAAATATTGGTGCGTTAGTAGCCCAGCTCCTAGTGCTTGCCTGCCACACCACTTCCTCACTGTCCCACAGTCCAGGAGCCAGAGGGGGTCACCTGACACAGCCAGGGCCTCCCACACACTAGCGAGTGAGTCTTGTTCTAGACTGATCATTGTCTGACTTCTTAACCAGTAGTTAAGGATTTTTAATATTCTCTGTGCAGTTACTTCCTCTCATTTATCCAGTCAGCAATTTCCTGAGCTCCAACTATGGGCCAGGCTAGCTCAGCACTAAAAACGAGCACATAACTTAGCCCACGGGGGAGACACACCAGTAACAGCCCAAAATGACAGGTTATGATGGGGGATACACAGGCAAAGTGATTCCAACTGCAATAGAGAAAACTCATGGGGCTCAAGGGAGCCCAGAAGGGGCTCCTGATCCAGCCTCAACGTTCAGAGATGACTGCTGGGGTGTAGCTCTGAAGGAGGATGAGGTTTCTGGTGAAAGGGGGAGGGTGTTCCAGGCGGAGGGAACAGTCTAGACAAAGGTTTAGTGGTGAGAACAGTGTTATTTCTTCACACTCCCTAAGCGTCAGTCCTGCTGATTCATTTGGGGCAACAAGGGAGGCAGAACTGACAGCCTATCAGCCCAGAGCTTTGCCACTTTATCTTTACAGGACCCAGGCAAGTCACTTCTTGCTAAGCCTCAGTTTCTTCGCCTGGAAAATGGGACAAATGTGTCTCCCTATCACTGGTTTGTGTCAAAGATCCATGTAGATCATGTGGGGAGAATGCTTAGCATGCAGCATATGAACAGGGTGGTTGTTAGGAAGGCTTGAGGGGTAGCTAAGCAAGCATCTGAGTTTCAATCAGCCCATCTGGAAAATGGGGTTTGAAGTGTCTCCATCTCACAACTGTGGATTTCACACAGCTGTGGCTGTCCAGCGTGGGAGCACAGGGCGGAGGTCGCACTGATGAGCTGGCAAATGGTTGGGGGGAGCCATTGTCTCTTTCCCGGTGTCCAGGTCTCCCTGCCCAGCACCATGTCTCTTGGGGCAGCTGGTTCCTGTAATACTGAAAACACACTAGGGAAGAGATCCAGGGCTGGGGAGCTGGATTGCCCCCAGGCTCTCTCTGTCCCATTCCTCCCCGCTCTGCATCCTGGAAGGCTGACTGGGGTGGGTCACATCATCTGGGCTCCCATGCCCCTGGCTCCCAGGACGACTTGGGACAATGGGGAGCCCCCTAGAAGATGGGGGAGTGGATTCCCCCAACTCTTTCCCTATGGAGTTGCCCGTTACCCGGCTCCCCTTAGGGCAGCCCGCTCTCCAGGCCTGGCTCTTCTGGGTCCCACTTTGCCCCCTTGTGGCTCCAGCTCTCCGGGTACCAGTCCAGGATACTGTACCAGCCCTGTGATTTCCTGGTTCCCTGCCCACTTCTTTGAAAATGATCCCTTCACCAAACTGTCTGAAATACCCCATGTATGGGGTAGCCCGGGTGGCTCAGCGGTTTAGCGCCGCCTTCCGCCCAGGGCGTGATCCTGGAGACCTGGTATTGAGTCCCATGTCGGGCTCCCTGCATGGAGCCTGCTTCTCTCTCCGCCTTTCTCCTGTGTTTCTCATGAATAAATAAAATCTTTAAAAAATACCCCGTGTGAGCATGCTGGCATCTTCCTGCTGGGACCCTGGGTCCCCAAACCGCACGCGCACACATTCAGCAGTGGCTTCTTAACCAATTTGTCCAAGGAGAGTCTGGTCTTTCCAGGGCTGAAGAGCTTAGTATTAAGTGGAGAGCGGTAGACACACTGGGTCCTCTCTACAAGCCCCCCTCCTCTTGGGCTGAGAACCCTTTTGTTTGAACAGTGGTATGTCCAGGACAGATGGTTGGTCCAAATAAGTCAAAGCAATCTCCATTCTTTTTGCCCCCAACTACTCTAGAAGGGAAAGGATCTAGGAAAGCTTAGGACTTTCCTCACTACCCTGGCAGCTGCCCTCCTTTGGGCCTTTGGGCCTGGTTGGGTGAGGGCGTACTGCTGAGTGCTGGTATGGCAGCCGTATGGTGGCCAGGAAGGCCTAAGCTGGAGGTGGAACTCCAACTCATAGGGGAACAAAGCAGGAACATAATCAAGAATAACAAGTATCCCTACAGCTTGGGCCTCCCTAAGCCAACTGTTTGCTACGTAGGACTCGAAGGATGCAGGTGAGAGGAGAGGTACATTCCACAAAGGCTCAAGATGGTCTTCTGGGTGTTCAGGGGCCTGGATGCCAAGCCTTGCCTCAGGGATCTTAGATGACTGTGGCCAGGCAAGGCAGAGGCAAGGAGAATGGGTCCCCAGTGGCCTGTAACCTGTGGGGCTGGGCAGGGAGTCTCCGGTGGGGCAGGGAGAGGGACTTCGGGAAATAAGTAATACTGGGCATCTCCTTAAATACCAAGATCAGGCATCTGATTTAGGGGGGGAAATTGTGCTGTGAAAATTTCTTGGATTTAAATGTCATAAAGCAATGAAGACCCTGCCCCTTGAACCCCATTCTTCCTCCCACCTCCTCTCTTGCCTTCTTCATTCCTGTCACATACATTTGACCCTCTCAACGCGGTTGCATGGACTATTGTCTGCTTGGGAACTTCCCCAAGATGTCTATGTGACCTGTGCCTTCTCTCAAAGGTCACCCCGAGAGGCCTTCGCCGGCCCATCAACCAGCAGTTAACTCCCTCAGCTTACCCACAGTTCCACAGATATTTTAATTCCTATTTGGTCTCTAGAAGGCTAATGCCATGAGGGGAGATGCTTTGCTGGTCTTGTTCCTTATCCTGTAGATGTAGACAGACACAGGTACCAGCAGAGTTTTTTGAACGTACAGTTGGTGCTGATGTGTGTCAGTGTTTAGGGAGACAGCAGAGGACCATGTTCTTATGCTGAAGGGTCTGGCTCTGGCACTAGGCAAGTCCAGGTTTGAGTCTCAGCTCTGTGGAATCCGGGGCAAGACTGGCTCTCTCTGAGCAGAGGAAGTCAGGGAAGTGGTGGTTCAGGCCACAGCAAGCCGCGTGGCGAGGCTGTGTTTTAGGAGGGGGCCCTGCCCTTGCTGGCTTCCTCTTCATAGAGAATTGGGGCAGTGGGGGCTTTTGTGGTCACAAGAGTGGCCTTCTTGGCAGACATGCCACATGGCTAGATGCATGCTGCCTGGGGAAGCTGCTACCAGAGCTGGCAGCTTAGGAGATGAATCTGGATGTAGTCTTCCCACTGGACAAAGAATAATTTGTCCCAGCTGCTGGATGGCCCGGGCATGCGGCCCGACTGTCCAGTCAGTGGGCTTGCTGGTCTCTCAATCCCCCTGTCACAGATGGGAGACAAAAGCCTGGGCTTGGCCTGGCAGTGGTGTAGCAGGTGTGTCCTGGGAGCCAGGGTCTGGCACCTGGTGACGGCAGTGGCTCCAGTACATTCTGGGGCACTGGTAAGGGGCAGAGGAAGGGTTTCCCCTCTCCTTGGGGAATAGATAGGCCCCACCTTGGGGAATAGCAAGGACCACAACTGATCCCATAGTGGCTCAGCGGAGATGGGAGACATGGGATCCAGGTGTTGGGATCATCATTACTGCAGTTCCTGTATTTCTTGGGAATGTTGGTCCCATTGACAGAGTCCTGGAACAAGGCAGGGCACTGGGGCTGACATCCTCCAGGGGAGACAGGAAGGGGACAAGCGGGTGAGGGTACAATGCTGGGGAGCCAACACCTACGGCACACAAATTTCACCCCTTCCAGGGTTTATCCACCTGTATTCCCTGGGCAGTCCACCCTGCCCTCCTTCCCTGCATCCGCCTGAGGGGGCTCTGTGAATGCACCCTGACAGGCACCAGGAACCATTCCTTGAAGTTGTCAGTTTATTTGCTTCAGACACCGATTTCCTCTGAAGCAGCCAGGCTGTCTTGGGGGGGGGGGGGCGGGGGGCACCAGCCCTCAGTGCCCCCGGGCCTTCCTCCGCACAGCCTGCACCAGCAGCTCTGAGTAATGTTCCAGCAGGGCATGCAAGTCTGGGCTTGCCAGGGGGCACAGTGTCGGTGGGGAGGGGGAGCCCAGGCCAGGCTGGGCCTGGGGTGGGGCCACATCACTCCTCAGCAGCCAGCTGTTGGCCTCTAACTGGCTATGGATCCAAAGGAAGGTGGAGGCCAGCTCAGTCCGTGCCTGCCGCTGCTGCTCAGTGCTCATCTGGTCGTTGGGGACCACCTGCGACGGGTACCGACCTTGTCAGGGGCCACCACCCAGCCAGCTCAGGCAGGCCGTCCCAGGGAGCCCCCCGGCCCACACCTCTGACCCCGGGGCTCGGCTCACCAGGTTGTAAAGGTCCATGGCTTCTTGGAAGGCAGTCTGCAGTCTGTGCACGATGGTGCTCACACTGCTCAGTTCAAGGGGAGTTGGGGGCAGGAAACTCAATGGCCCCCCAGGCTCCTCCCAGTGTCCAGGGCTGCCCTGGACCAGACTGAGCGCATCTGGGGTTAGAGGGGAGGGAATGAGAAAGACACCTCCGCTTTCCAGCTGGTCTCAGAAAGGCCAGGATGGCTGGGCTGCTCTCAACTGCTGTCCCTCCGCCTGGAACACTTCCCTTGGTCCCCTGAGGCTCACTTCCCTCCCGCTCTGCTCAAGTGCCCTCCTTCTCCAGATTGAAGCCTTTTCTCATTATCCTTCTCTAACCACTGCCCCCCTGCTTGTTCCCTAAGCCCTCTCTCTTATTTCTGTCCTTATTAGCACATACTCCTTCGTGACACACTAAACACTTTGTTTCATGTCTGGCCGTCTCCCCAGTTAAGGGGTCAATTTTTTGTGGTCTTGTTAACCACTGTGCCCCAGTGCCCAGGGTCTAGAACAAAGCCCAACATGTATGAAGTGCTCGCTAAAGATTTAAGTGAACCAATGGTGCAGCCCCCGGGGCCAGGTCAAGTGCCCACCGCTGGACCTAAGCCAGCTGTACAAGGGATGAGCCTTGCCCAAGAGTGGTACTCACCAGGGGCGGGCTCCAGGAGGGAGGTGACGCTGCCAGGGACCCCAGGCCTGGTCTCTGGAAGCGAGGTGCTGTTGGGGTGGGCAGGGGTGTTGGGGGACTCAGGGACCAGGAGCCTCGGGAGAAAGGTGGAACTGTGGAGCCCCAGGGAGCTTGCATCCACGGGGCTGGGGACTGGGAAGGTGGCTGTTGTGACGCTGGGCTGGGTGGCCACAGGATCCAACGGGGGAGGCGGCAACAAGAGCCTGTCGCAGATGCTCGACAGGGTCAGCTTCAGGCTGGCCCGGGCCTCGTGGTTGCCCCCCAAGGAGAGCAAGGCAGGTTCTCGGCCCTCGCTGTTAGAGCCCGGTGCTACCGTGGTGGGGATGGCCTGGAGCTCCTGGCCCAGGGACACCAGTTCCCCAACGGAGGACGGCCTGGGGAGGGGCCTGGCCAGCTCAGCCAGCACAGGGCCCTCACTGTCCTCGAGGGAGATGCTGCGTGACATCTTGGCGCGGGAGCTCGCAGCAGCCGCCATGTAGGAGCGGGAGGAGGGGCTGTGGACACCCTGAGTCAAGCCTGGAGTGGGCAGGGCTGTGGGCGTCAGAGGCTTCCCGTCAGCGGGCAGCACTGAGGAGGGGGCACAGGGTGCCAGGCCTGAGAGGCAGGGGGCTGTAAAGGAAGCAGCCAGCTCACTCTCACACCCCAGCCAGAGAGCCGATGCGAGGGGTCCACCCCAGGAGGCTGCAGGGGCTGAGTGGCCTCTGCCCATCCCTACTGCCCCATAGTTCAGATGGGCACCGGAGCCATTTGCTGAGATGCCCAGGGCTGTTTATCTGCAGATGGGGGCACTCACTCAGTGGGAACCAGGGCTCCAGGGTCTCAAGGGGCTCCTCAGCCTTTTTCCCAGTGAGGACCTGCAAGCACGACCAGGAGGTGGGGACAAGAAGGCCTCCTGCTCCCAGCCCTAAGTCCTGAAAGAAGTAGCCCCATACTCACACTGGTTCTGCCTGGGGAGGTGTAGCCAGCGCCTACTCTCAAAGGCTCTGCCCTGGGCTGGCTGCCCCCAAGGTCCGTGAATTTGACCTCTGGGGACTTCACCAGGTGCAGGGGCAGCTGGGGAGGGAAGGTGTGGGTAAACCTGTGGGAAGGAAAGCAGGGGTTTGTGGCTGGCCTGGGGGTTCCTGAGGGGTCACAGTCCCGCCCTGCGAGAGACAGTGAGCTTGGGTGGGAGGGGCACCTGCTCCTACCTGGATGTTTTCTGGAGACGCGAGAGGAACTGAGCTGAAATGCTCAGCCGGGGATTGAAGAAGTCTTCAGCCTCAGGGGCCTCCAAGTCTCTCAGGGATCCATGGAAGAGCTCTAGAGGAAGAGGCCAACGGAGCCCTCAGAATCCCTCCAGCCACCCAGCCCTGAGCCCAGGAAGACCCACAGACCAGCAGGTAGATCCCCAGAAACGCCATCAAGAGCCCACACTATGCCTGGGGAGCAAACACAGCATGGAGAAGAGCCTGCGTGGCTCAGTCCTGAGGATAAAACGCAAGCCCTTCTCCACCCTTGCTAGCCATGCAGGGAAGCCCTACCCACCCTACCCGGAACACCCATGCTTTGCCCAGCACTGGATGGCCTGCCCAGGCAGGGCCCTACCCTCGGGGTGACCGTCAGTAAGCGTCTCGAAGTGGTGGCGGAGGAACTTCTCCTGCTCAGGGGTCTGGGGCAGGGAGCCGTTGGATATGCCCAGCACCTCGGGCTGGGATAACTCTTCTGTGGTACCTGGGCATCCTGGGGAGAGGTGAAGGGGAGGCGAGGGGGCGGGCAGGAGAGAGTCGTCAACACCATGAGTCATGGCAGACGCCCAGACAAACAAGCTAGACGCCTAACAATGGAGAGAGCTGGACTGGCCCATCACACACCCTGCTGCCACTAGACCGAGGAGAGGCTAATGGCTCTGTCTCCCAGCGAGGAAATGGAGGCTCAGTGGGCATCAAGTACAGGGCTGATGTGGGGAAAGTGATTATACCTCATGACCATCCCCCAGCCAGTCCTACACCCCGTCTTCCCCATATCTGGCCCCTGCTTACCTGGTGTGCGGGGCATCATCATGTTAAACCGAGGGGTTGGCCGGGGAGGGGACGAATGGATGGTGGTGAAGCTGCACTCCAAGTCGGCCTCTGACTCCCCCGAGTCTGGAGAGGCAGAGCAGGAGTCAGGAGTCCAAAGCCAAGCCCTTACTGGGTGAGTCAGGTAAGTGGCTCAGCTTCCCAGGGCTTCAATTTTCCCATCTGGAGAACGGGGGTTAATAATATCCTCTCTCCATTTTTATGGACCAATAAGTTCTTTGAGGAAGCGGCAGAGCTGGGCTCCTGCCAGTGAGCAATAGGGCTCCAGAATCCTCAGGTAACAGAAGGGACCCATGCCTGTCTCTGTGATAGACTCTGAACTTCAGGAAGACGGAGTCAGGTCACCATTAACACCCAGAAGGGAGCCTGGCTGGACCAACAGATTGCTGCAGGGTCTCTGCCTATCCCCACTCACCTTCGGGTGGGCTCCGATCCTTCGAGCTAATGGAGGAGCCTCTGAGGTAGGAGTCACCCTGCTGGTCTCTGGGCTTCCCCTTCATGTCCTTTGTGCAGTAATCGCTGCAGTGGGGGTGAGAACATACTAGTAGTAAAGAGCTGGCCCCCACCCTGAACCCCCAGACATCTGTGCCCTGCTCCTACTGGGAGCACGGCCTAGCCTCTCCTGCCTCCTGCGCAACCCGGGCCTACTCCACTCCCACAGGCCTACTGGGAGAGCAGAGAGCAATTCTTCCGGGGCATGCCTATCAGCCCAGGCCTCCCCTCTCCAACACCGTAAGGCTTCCCTTGGTGCAAAGGACACCCACCTGTCTGTCCCTATGACTGTCACCTCTGCCTCCAGGGAGTAGATGAGTTCACTGTCCTCAGAGGACTCCCGCTGTAGGGGCAAGAAGGAGGGGTGCCCACAGCCATTCTCCTGGGGGCTCTCCGACTGTGGGGTGAAGAGAACACAGCCATCTAAGGTAGCCATGGCAACTGGGGCCCTTTGGAAGCCAGCAAATGGGCCACCAACACCCACAATAACAGGAAAGATGTGCTGGCCACTCACGGGAAGCCAGGGCCTGGCCCCTTATGTGCTCATCTTGAGCTCATTCTGTGCTCCTCCTGCATGACCAGTCAGCCCCTTTACACGTAAGGAATTGGTATGGCTCCAACCCTCCAAGAATCTGTTTGAATGACGTTTAAGAACAAACTAATCCTTGGTGAGAGATGAGAAGACTGCTCACCACAGGTGGGGGTACTGACGAGGAGGGGCACGGGGGGGGGGGTCTTCCAGGAGGTAGAAAAGACTCTACATTTTGGCCTGGGTGCGGGGCACATAGGTGCATACATAGGTAATAATTCACCAAGCTGTATACCTAGGGTTTGTACACAAAAGCGCATGTGTATTATTCCACAATAATAAAAAAAGAAAGTTTGTACAACAGAATAAAAACTAATTTTGTTTGGAAAATAACAGAACAAGAGCTAAAGTTGCTTCAGGACTTCTGAGGGCCCAGGCCCTATTCTCAGCACTGGATTCCTATCAAAGCCCTCTGGAGGCTTTCTTTTTATGACCATTTTTTAGAAATATATATATATATGTTATCTTTTTTTAAATGACCATTTCTTTTTTAAAAGCAGAAGCCTAGACAAGCCTTGTGACAAGTCACTACACAGCCAGGAAGGGGTAGGGCCAGGGCTCTATTGCTCAAATGCCCCCAGCCAGGTATAGGCCTGTTCTCGGGCCCAAGCTTTTAACCCTCAAGCAACCCACCCCCAGGCTCCTAGTCTGCCCTGGGAAGTCTCATTTACCCCAGGGCCTCACCCTCTTGCCCCCAACCATGTCATGTAATCATCTTTCACCCCCTAGAGTGGGATGGGTTAGCCTGATTTTCTTTTTTTTATAAATTTTTTTTTTGTTTTATTTATTTATGATAGGCACACAGTGAGAGAGAGAGAGGCAGAGACACAGGCAGAGGGAGAAGCAGGCTCCATACACCGGGAGCCTGACGTGGGACTCGATCCCGGGTCTCCAGGATCACGCCCTGGGCCAAAGGCAGGCGCCAAACCGCTGCGCCACCCAGGGATCCCCTAGCCTGATTTTCAAAAGGAGACTGCCGAGGCCCCGAGTCCAGGGTGGGCAGTCACAGTGCAGGGCCTGTGGGCTGGGCTGGCCGATCTGTACCTCACTCAGCAGGCCCGCCAGGCTCTGGGGCTCCACTGTATCCAGAACAGAGTTCTCCAGGCTCTCAAGCTTCATGGGGGTGAAGTAGCAATCCAGGTCCTGGGCATCCAGGATGGTCTTGAGGGGCTTCTGGTCAGCCCGCTCTGCCCAGCGGCCATGTGGCTTGTAGCTGCGCTTGGCATGGAAGGCTGAGCCATCTGTCACATCGTCATCTCCTAGCTGAGGGTGACAGGGGATGGTCAGACAGCTGGCCAAGAGCTCACCAACTCCAATGGGGCCCAGGGACTCTGCATGGACTCCATCCAGTCTCTTGGCTTTATTTTTTAATTTTTATTTATTTATTATTTTTTTAAGACTTTATTCACAGGAGACACACAGAGAGAGGCAGAGACATAGGAGGAGGGAGAAGCAGGCTCCCTGCAGAGAGCCCAATGCGGGACTTGATCCCAGGACCCCGGGATCACAACATGACCTGAGCCAAAGGCAGACGCTCAACTGCTGAGCCACCCAGGCGTCCCTAGTCTCTTGGCTTTAAATACCACTCAGTGACAACTTCCAGATAAACGTCTCCAGCCTGAACCTCTGTTCAATTACAGAAGTGCATACGCAACTGCTTTCCATCTATATGGATTCTTAGTGATACTTCAAAGTAGGCATTTGAAAGCAACTCCTGATCTTTCCCCCAGATCAGCTTCTGCTGCAGCCTTCTCTGTCCTATTCCCACTGGTGGCTCGGGCCCTAAACCTGGAGATCACCTCTCATCCTTCTATTGTCCCTCATACTCCATACTGTATTTCTTCAAGCAATTCTCTCAGCACTGCTATCCCAACAGCATCCAAGATATGGCCACTTCTCTCACCCTGGTCCTGCCCAGTGTGGCCTCTGAAGAAGACTGGCTTGAGAGACAGTGGAGGGTGGGTGTTTCTGAGAACTCAGGCTCTGGAGCAGCCCTTGTTCACTAATTCCTAGCTGTGTGACCCTGGACAAGTTACTTAACCTCTCTGGGCCTCAGTTTCTCCATCTGTGAAACAGGGATATGAAAAGCTCCTGTACCTCAGTGGGGATCAGGTGAGATAATACACATAAAAGACTTAGAACTGGGATGCCTGGGTGGCTCAGCGGTTTGGCTCAAGGCATGATCCCGGAGTCCCGGGATCGAGTCCCACATCGGGCTTCCTGCATGGAGCCTTCTTCTCCCTCTGTCTGTGTCTCTGCCTCTCTCTCTGTGTCTCTCATGAATAAATAAAATCTTAAAAAAAAAAAAAGACTTAGAACAGAGCTTGTGCAGAGTCAAGTGTGCTACGCATATTCACTGGCTGTAATTCCGCTTGTTGTAGTCACTGATAAGGAGGAGCCTGAGGTCTTGAGACCTGGTCTGCAGGGGAGGGGATGGCAGAGAAGATTTCCCTGAGGGAAAGGTTTTGATCTGAGGACTAACACTGTTACTGAAATAAATTGTCCAACCTAGGATGTAGGATTCTGCTGCCAGCTTCTTCTTTTTAAGGATTTTATTTGAGAGAGAGAGAGAGAGACAGAGAGAGAGAGCGCGCGACCGTGTGCATGAGCAGCGGGGAGGAGCAGAGGGAGAGGCACACTTCCTGCTGAGCAGGGAGCCCAATTCGGGGCTAGATCCCAGACCCCGAGATCATGATCTGAGCTAAATGCAGATGCAAAACGACTGAGACACCCAGGTGCCCCTCTGCTGTCAGCTTTTAACCCACCAGCTCCTAGCCTGCCCCTCCCCCAAGTAAACAACTATTCATTCAATCCTAGTATCCTCTTCGTCCCTTTCTTTCTCTCACATCCAGTCTCATAATCCACCGAAAATCCACCCATTACTGCCCACCCCCCAACCCAGCTCAGCCTCTAATATCTCCTGGATGATCCTAACAGCCTCCTCCCTGGACCCCTGCTTTGCCCCTCATGTTCACTTTTGCATTAGATCATGGCTTTCCTCAGCTCAGAGCCCTCCCTTGCCTCCATCTCACTCAGTGCCAGGGATAAAAATAAGTGGGGAGGACGATAAGGAGTGTTTGAGGAACGCAGTGCAGCCCACATGGTGCCATGCCATCTGGCCCCCATCACCTCTCTAAGCCCCTCTCTTCCCCCCCTGCCCTCATTCACATTCAACCCAGGCAGCTGGGTCTCCCTGCACCTTGAACATGCTAATAAGCACAATCTGCCTCATGGCCTTTGTCCTGCTTACTGTTCTCTGCCTGGAACATTCCTTCCCAGGACCTGCATTTCTCCCTTATTTCAACTCTGTTCAAATATAATCTCAGTGAGGCCTTTTTTGTTTGTCTTAAAGTTGTTTCCCCCTCCCCCCAACCCATGCTATTTTCCTTCTCATTTTTTTTCCTCTGCAGCATTTATCAACTTCCCAAATACTATGCATCTTACCTGTTTCATATGGATGCTGTCCATGTCCCACACTAGAAAATGTCTGCCTTGCTACCATATGTAAGGGTCAGAACAAGCCTGGCACAGGTGTAGGTGACACCTACACAGGTGTCACATGAATGAATGGGTGTCTAAGCTGAGACTGGAAGGATGATGGGGCTCTCCAGGGAAATGAGAGACAGGGAGAGGGATATGGGCTCCCAGAAGAAAAGCATGAAGGACAGCACCCCTACTTTGCCAGCCCTAGGTGTCCTGGTCTCCGGGCAGACTCACCAGCCGCTTTGCCCACAGTGGCAGTTTGCCATTGGTCAGGAGACACTGAGGATCTGGAGAGAGACATGGAATCCATGAAAAGAGACAACAACCCAAAAGACAAATGGGCAACATACATAAACAGGCAATTCTCCAAAGAGACAATACAAAAAACAAGAGACATAACAAATGATGCTCAGCCTTGCAAACAGTCAGGAAAATGCAAATTTCCATAGGACATCAAAACTCAAATGCTTCATATTACCAAGCATTGGCAAAAGCGTGGCAGGACAGAGGGCTTCACACTGCCAGGTGGGGCAGTAACTGGATTTGGAGGGTCCTTGGGGTTCCCTTTTGAAATAAAGTGTGTACTAACCCCATCGCCTGGGAGTGCCAGCCCTTGCCTCTGTCCTGAACAAACACTCTCACGTGTGCCTGAGGAGGCCGAGGAACAGTCAACAAGGCCATATTCACAATGGTGTACAGTTGGCAAAACCCTAAATGTCCATCCAGAGGTGAATACCTTAAAATATCCTACTATATGCTGTTGGTTGAAAGAGGGAGGCCTCTAGGGCGTCTGGGGGGCTCAGTCAGTTGAGCATCTGACTCTAGATTTTGGCTCAGGTTGTGACTCAGGGTTGTGGGATCCAGTCCCATGTTGGGAGTCAGACTCCTGATCAGTGGGGAGTCTGCTTGAGATTCCCTCTCCTTCTCCCTCTGCTCATGGTCCTGCTCTAAATCAATCAGTCAATCAAATCTTTTAAAAAAAGAAAGAGGGAGGCCCCTGTTTTGTATCCACTAACATACAGGTTGAGGTTTCTCTTTCTTTCTTTCTTTTCTTTCTTTCTTTCTTTCTTTTTTTTTAAAGATTTTATCTATCTTTCTATCTACCTACCTACCTACCTATGAGAGAAAGAGAGAGCGAGCACGAGGGTACACACATGGGGAAGGGCAGAGGGAGGAAGAGAAAAAGAATCTCAAGCACACGCCACACTGAGCGCAGAGGGTGACACAGAGCTTGATATTACGACCTGAACCGAAAACAAGAGTTGGACTGACTGAGCCACCCAGGTGGCCCCCAACAACATATTTCTGAGTGAAAAAATATACAGAATGATGTCTGCAGTAGAATATAATTTATGTACCTAAATCTGACATGTTCTGAAGGCTGTGTGCATACGTATAAAAAGTTCAGGAAAAGGCCTATAAGAATTCATACCAAACTGAAAGAAGTGGTCACCCTGGAGAGGACATGAGATTGGGTGTGAGGGTGGCAACAAAGAAAATTCACTCACTCTGATTTTTTTCCAAGGCTGAATTCTTTTTTTTTTTCCCCCCAAGGCTGAATATTTACATTCATGTTGCCTACTGTCTAGTCAGTCCCTATTGGCAAGGCCCCCACCCCACACTGAAGCACCTGCCCTCTCTCAGCTGGAGAATCAACGCCAATGGGACCCAAGAGAAGCCTGCAGTGGGCTTCTGGGCAAGTTTCCTCTCTAAAGGAGACTGTAGGATGGACCATCCTATGCAAGCAGCAGCCATCTTGCAACCAGGAAGCTTAAGCCCAGGGTATGTACAGAAGGGCAGAAATTTAGAGAAAGCCTGGCCTGCTACAAAGTCATTGAGCTACTACTATTCTCCCTTTTGCCTGAACAAAAGAATCTGTTGTCTTCTGGGGAAGAGCACCCTGTTTTTTCCCTGGGCCATCCCCTGCACCCCTGCCCACCCTCTTTGGTCAGGTGGTCCCAGTGGAGCTGAGTCAAGCCTCCCCCTTCAGGGAATACCACATGACTTAGACCTGGCCAATCACAGCCACTGGCTCAGAATTGGGCACCATGTCTCACGCCGGAACCATGAGTCACAAGCCCAGGATTCTGCTTGAGCTACTGGGAAAGAGATGCTCTTTTTTCTATCGAGTTTTATTATCTAGGGCTGCTGGGGGAATCTTTGCCCCAGGAAAGGGAGAGTCTGCCTGAAAACAAAGCTAACATGGAAAAAAGCAGAGCCATGAGACAGAGAAAAATATATTCCTTCAACATCACCTGACTACCAGGATCTGGCCATTGCCTGAAGCCAATGCTCTGATTTTCAGGTACATGAACCAATAAATTCTCTTTCCCCTAATGAGTCTGGTCGCTATTACACTGAAGGAGTTCTGACTGATAGGATTATTGAGCTACATTTCCAGGCTCTGAAAGTCAAGTAGTAGGCGAAACCCAGCAACGATCCTTACACTGAGAGTCCAAAATAGGGCCCCCTTGGATAGGTGCCTTTCCCAACCTGGGTCCGAGCTGTCTTTGGACGGGGTCTTCAGCAACTCTTCCGATTCACACTCTTCCTCCAGCTCCTCCTCCGTCTGCTCTCCAGGGCTTAAGGAGCAAATCTCGCTGGGCATGGATGTATAGGTCTCCTGCCTGAGGCCAGGAATGGGGGCAGCAAGGAAAGAAATAGGTAAATGGGGTGGGGGTGGGATGGACAGGGATCCGCCTAGGACTGAGTCCTGTGCTAGCTTCCATATGAACATATTATAGACTTCTGGTCAGGATGGGGCTGGGAGGGGCACCTGGGTGGCTCAGAGGTTGAGCATCTCCTTTTGGCTCAGGTCATGATCCCGGGATCCTAGGATAGAGTTCTGCGGGGAGCCTGCTTCTCCCTCTGCCTGTGTCTCTGCTTCTCTGTGTCTCTCATGAATAAATAAATAAATAAAATCTTAAAAAAAAAAAAAGGGGGGATCCCTGGGTGGCTCAGTGGCTTGGCGCCTGCCTTCAGCCCGGGGCGTGATCCTGGAGTCCCAGGATCGAGTGCCGCATCAGGATCCCTGCATGGAGCCTGCTTCTCCCTCTGCCTGCGTCTCTGCCTCTCTTTCTCTCTGTGTCTCACATGAATAAATAAAATCTTTAAAAAATAAATAAATAGGGATCCCTGGGTGGCGCAGCGGTTTGGCGCCTGCCTTTGGCCCGGGGCGCGATCCTGGAGACCCGGGATCGAATCCCACGTCAGGCTCCCGGTGCATGGAGCCTGCTTCTCCCTCTGCCTGTGTCTCTACCTCTCTCTCTCTGTGTGTGTGACTATCATAAATAAATAAAAATTTAAAAAAAATAAAAAAAAATAAAAAAATAAAAAAATAAATAAAATCTTAAAAAAAAAAAAGATGGTGCTGGGACACATCTGCCACATCTGTTCTGCTGGAAATGCCAACACAATAAGTAAGATATAACAAAGCCTGGGCTCAAAAAATAAGACAAACTCTCTAAGGGCCATAGCAATGTAACTGAAAGCAAAGCAGAGATTGGGGCTTGAGTACTAAGCTGCCACATTCTGTTCTGGAAAGTGTGTGTGTGTGAGTGTGAGTGTGCGTGGTAGGATGGGTAGCAATGAGGTTTTATCTTCTTTGGAGTACAGGAGCCTAAAACACGCTTGACAAGAGGTGGGCAGTGGAGGACACCGAAGGTAGAGTGTAAGCTCCAAAACCAGGAGCCAAGGGGAGCTGCCCATTCCCTTGGTACCTAGTTCTGTAAGACCTCCAATGCTACATAGGACAAGAGGCTCATGGCCTGGCCTGGTCCCTGTGGGGAGGCAGTGGCAAAGCCTCAAAGCAGAGGACAAGGACGGCTCCAGAGGCAGAAGAGAGGATAAATCCCCAAATCTCCCCCTCAACTGAGACCTCTATACTAAAATCCCTAACAAAAATTAGAATATGAATTCATGCCAAATAAAACCGGTCTTGTAGAGCAGAAAGACTTTGGGGAATAAGACACGTCAACTCCACAGGATGCTTCTCTGACTCTGTCCCTCCCCACTGCACACTGGGTCCAGAGCCTCCCCTTGGTCCCCACAGTTCCCTGGAGTGTCCCCACCACAGTGGGCACAGGCTCTCCAGGCACCCTGTTTTTCTACTTCAAAACCCTTCTCACATGTATTATCATAAATTTGTACTCAAAGTCTGCGAGTGTGCAGAGGCAGGGCCTAAGGCTGTCCTGGCCACGGCTGGGTCTTCAGCATCAGTTCTCACGGGGCCCAGGGTGGGGAGACATTTCTTTTCTCTAGCAGACAAATGGGGGACAGCCAAGTGACTACAGGACCTGGGCTGGCTGCTCTACCTCTCGTCCTTCCTGTTCTGCTGCTGCTGTTGCTCCCGGTGGTTAATCTCCAGCAAGTGCTGCTTCATGCAGTTAGTGATCTCTGGGCCCAGGTGCCAGATGAACACACAGCTGGAGGCCAAAGAGAGATGTGGAAGGAGCAAGAACAGTGAACATGAGGCCAGCGGAACCTGGAGCCACCCAGGTCACCGCAGCCAAGACCCCATTCATTCCCTGGCCCCTCCCGGAAAACACATCCCTGCAGCTTAGTGCAAGGGCTCCAGGCCACACTGGGTCTACATCCTGGGCAGGGTTCTGAGCACCCCAGGAAACCAGGACCTGTTCTGAAGACCTCAAGACTCAAGGAAGGGGTCTGGGGAAGGACCATAATAAATCAAAGGGAGTGACAAAAGGGACTTCCTTGGGCACCAGCCACATATCAAGGACTTTATACACTATCTTATTTGATCCTCACTGCAGTTTGTCAAAGACATGGGGGTCATCTTTTACAGAGGAGCAAACTGAGGCTTAGCACTGGGAAATGACCTGCTCAAGGTGCCAATTAAGTAAATGGCAGATCTGGGATTGGAACTCAGGGCTGGTGTGACACTGAGGTACACGCCATCAAAGGAAAGAATAGTAAGCTGGAACCCACAGTAGAGCTCTCTTAACGGACAGGTTTGGAGTTTGGTGCTCCTGCTGTCTGAGCCCCTGCACTCCCCAAAGCAATGGTCTTGCCCGGTACTAGAGGGAGGCCAGCCAGGGGTGGCCTCTAGGCCTTGCCCACCTGTCTCCAGATACTGTGATCAAGTGACGACAATCGTAGGTGAACTTCATGCTGGTAACAATTTCTGAAAGCAGAGGAGAGAAGCTGTGCTGGCTTTCTGACCCAGAAGGCTGTGTGGGGGCACATGGGGAGGTGTCTTCCCGCCACGGAAGGAGGCACACCCACCTGAATGACCAAACATCTTGGCAATGCACTCGCCTGAATAAAAGTCAATCACCGAGATGCTTTTGTCGGAGCAGCTAGTGGCCAGGAAGGTGCCTGAGGGGTCCACATGGACCTGCCAAGAAGAGGACCCACATGACAGTGCGGCTGCTTCCTCCCTGCGGTGAGGCCCGGGTCAAACATCACAGCCTCCACTGATGGATGACCCTCTTATGCCGGACACTTGGCACCGGACTTGTCCCAGGTAGCCCTCGGGACATACACCCTGGTTAGGATAGGAACTCCTGTTCCCACTTCACAGGTGAAAAAATTACCAAGCACCCCCCGTGCCAAGCATTGTACACATGCAAACTGATTTCTTCCAGAGAAGAACCCTACGATAGAGACTCTTTCTTTTTTTTTTTTTTTTTTTTAAGAGACTCTTTCTATCTGCATTTTACAGATGAGGAAACAGGCTTCAGAGGAGATGACCCTTGCCCAAGGTCACAGCCTGAGACAGAGCTATTAAGAGTCTGACCTTAAAGCCTAAACTCAAAACAACTCCCTTACTTCAGGGGCTCTGAGAAGGTTCCCCAACCTTGTCCTGAAAACGTGGCAGGGGGCAAGCCTAGTAAAAGAGCCCAGGCCTCTTTGTTTCCACCGTACTATGGCCACTCAAAACAGAAACCACTTAAATGTCCCCGTTTGAGGAAGGGCTCAGTAAATAAAGGTAAAACAGTCTGTGATGCCCTCAGCTCCCAAGCAATCTTGGTCAGCTAGGCCAGACTGGGTGCTGGCCAGCTTGTGATCCTTTGATCAGGTGCCCAGGAGGCCACAGGTCTCAGGTGGCCCATCAGGGTGGCAGACGGACAGGGGGAACATGTGTGGTTTTCACACTAGAGATTCTAGCTACTCACCTTCAGCAGGGACCCTTCGTCACCCTGGGAGCCTTTGTAGCACTTCTTCTGCTTTCCATTCACGGTGTTGTAGACTCTGGGGAGGTGGGGGCATAACGTGGCCAACGCGGCCCTGCCCACCTGCCCCCTCTTACATGTGGTTCCAGCCCTACCCACCAACCATCTTCCTCTCCCCTGGAAGCCTCTCGTCACCTCTTATCCCCATCTGATGCCTGGACTGAAATCCCATCTCAGGGAATGAGATGCTGTCTCAGGCTGACATCATGGAGGTTACATACTGGATATTCATTGAGTTAGTTGTCTGCTGAGTTAATGTCTGTCTTCCCTGCTACAGAGCAAGCAGGATGCTGGCACTCAACTTGAATGAGCAAGGCAAAGAGGTAGAGAACCTCTTTGTACACGCTCTCCCCATGCACACCCCCTTTCTCCCCTCTCCTGGCTCACTCCACATCCTTCTCAGTCTCACTTCAGATGTTCTCTCCATCAAGCCCTTCTTGATCCCCAGGTAGGATCAGGTGTCTCCCTAGGACCCCCCAAGTCCCGGCCTCTCCCAGCCCTGACCGCTCCATGCTGTCACTGTCTAGTGAGGCATCCATCTCTCCTTCCCTGGACTGTGAGCTCCATGAAGGCAGGGCCTGGGGCTGCCCTGCTCACTGCTGTCTCCTATACTATCCATCCCAGATGGGTGCTCAGGGAATGTAGGTGAATGGATGCATCTGAGCCACATCAGCCCCTCTCAGTCACCCCACATAGGTTTCCGGAGGGCCAAAAGGAACCCCCTTCTGGCCTGGAGGCTAGGCCTGGGTGAGCTCCGTTCCTAGGAAACACCCAATAGGTCCTTCCACCCAACCCAGCTGCCTCAGGGACCGAATGGGCAGGGGAAAGAGACTGACACCTCATGAGCACACAGACCCAACTAGGTCTCATACAGGTCCCACTCAGAAACCAGGCCAGGAAAAAAAAAAAAAGAAAGAAAAGAAACCAGGCCAGGGGCAGCCCAGGTGGCTCAGCGGTTTAGTGCCGCCTTCAGCCCAGGGCGTGATCCTGGAGACCTGGGATCGAGTCCCATGTCGGGCACCCTGCATGGAGCCTGCTTTTCCCTTGGCCTGTGTCTCTGCCTCTCTCTCTCATGTCTTTCATGAATAAATAAATAAAATCTTAAAAAAAAAAAAAAAAAAAAAAGAAACCAGGCCAGGCCGACTAAGAGCCCAGGGCAGCTCCTTACCTCACATTGCGGTCCTGGCAGGCTACAGCCACATACTTCTGGGTGATGTCAATGTCCATGTCATACAAGGTGGTCTTCTCTGCCACATGGTGGGTACGGACAAAGTGTAGTCCATCTGAGGTCTGGCAGGACAGGCAGGGCCTTCAGAGGACACCCATGACAAGCTTCCCTCCCCAGCCCCTAAGGAGGAAACCCACTCTACCCGCTGGGCACTGCGAAAGTAGATGCTCTTGTCAGCCCCACAGCTGATCATCTGGATGTCTCTATTGCCTGGAGGAGAAGGAGGTGGTACATTAGACAAGGCTGGGCCACTGCTGAGCCTGACTGGGGTCAGGGTCCCTAGTTAGGGAACTTACTGCAAGTGTACTACTCTGCTGGAGGGTCAGGGAGGGATCCCTGGAGGAGGTGCAAGTAGTATCCTAAGATGGGAGCTGTGTGCATGAGGTGGTACAGATAGAGCAGTGGCATGGCAGGCCTCTACAGACCAAGGGCAGAGAGGGAAACAGGCCAGGGACACAGAACGGGCACCACTTCTGATTTGGGATTTGGAAAGGTGATTTGGGTGACAGAGTGGAGGCGGGACCAAAGCAGGGGACAAGTGGAGACAGGTAGACTGCTGGGAGGTTCATGCCATCATGAGCAATCAGAGCATCCACACATACCTCAGGCCAGGCCCCGTAACATAGGTGCCTCCCCCTCGACTGCTCACAGCCCACTCCATTGTACAAATGTGAACCCAGGGGCTTAGAGTCACACAGTCCTGGCGCACGGAGAGTCGGGACAGGGTCAGGATTAGACCCAGGCGTTTTCTGGCTAACCACTGTGCTCTGAGCCCTGGCTTCTTCTCCATGCCTCTGATTTCAACAGGCCAGATTGCTAATGTGTCAGGACATGACGCCACCTAAGTTCTATTCCTGCCAAGAATGTATCAGCGGAATGAAATTGTGACGAAAACAAATTTAAATTGAAGGAAATTCTATAAAATGACTGGTCTATATCCTGCAGAAAGCCATGTCAGAAAGACAAAGGGCCTGACAGTCCCCACCCCATGGAGTTCTGTGAAGCCTGTGGAACAGTGGCTGCCACCTGGTTAGCACTATAAAAATTCTTGCCTTTCTTCTTTTTTCTTTATAGAATTAGAATAATAACAGCACAAATACCTCAGTGTTGTGTTGAGGATGTAAAGACAGAACAGATATAAAACACTTAGAGCCCTGGTACCACAGATCTGCTGCTTCATGGCAGGATACCGGAGAAGCTCAGGCCTGACACACAAGATATAACTCAAGCAGGAGTCACTGGCCCACAGAAGGGAGTGAGTCCCGTGTGGGGGAGGGAGCATGACCTGGGAAGGACCCAGAGAGGCCTGCAAGTTACTGGTAATGTTCTGCTTCTTAACCTGGGGTGGGGAGCCCACATGCTTAGCAATGTTAGAACACAAGCGATCAGAACAGTCACTGGTTATAAACAATAGGTGTGTCTGTTCTAGTTCATACCCACTGATTATGAACCTTGATGGGGAAATTCAATGTATTATTCTGCAAACTACACATATTGTATTCATTTGTTTGGATATGTTTCAGATAACACTGTTAAAGACCGAATCCTTTTTTAGCATGGCAGCGACCATCAGGTTTCGACCAGCTAGAGTCCAGTTTATACTGACAATAAAATTGTCCATGTTGTGAGCATAGATAGCCCAGCTGGAAAAGAGCACCCAAGAGCTGGGTTTAGGATTCATGTCCTGTCAGACTGGCTGGGAACTCTGATAAAGCCTACACCCTGTAATGCAGAAGGTGGCCTTAAGGACCAACTCCTGGGCTACCCCTTGGGTCATCATCACTGCTCTCAGATCCAGACTGTTTGTTAAAGCTGAGGTCACTGGTGGCCAAACTGCTAGACTTGCTGACTTATTCCAACTCTATTCCGTGGAACAAATAGGTTTTTAAAGATGTCTGAGAAGTTTTAGCTAATCAAATCTGGCTGTCTTCATTGACACATCAAACATTGTTAACTTCTTTTAGCTACAGAGAGGTAGGGCAGGAGGTAGGGAGGACCAAGGGACAGTAGTACATTCTCAGTCATAAGATTACAGGTAAAAAAAAAAACCTCTTCACAGTCAAGAACTTAGAAAAGTACATGGGTATATTCTCTCCATGAATATATTCTTCTGGAACATCATTTTGAATATGCTCTTGGGTTCTGATCAGTTAACCCTACAGGACCCACCTCCCCTCCCCTTGGAATCCTTTAGGGCCAAGGACCTCTATACTGAATCCTTTGAGTCTAGAGGAAATCCCTTTGATTTCCTAGTTGAGTGTGGGCTTTGTCAGCAGCCCTGCACAATATCCTAAGCCTGCACGCACTGGCTCTGTGACTCCAGCTGTAAGTGCGAGGATCCTCTCCAGCACAGAGTTAGCTTCCAGCAATTTTCATGGTCACCTATTTTTCTGCCAAGGTCACCAGTGCCCACCCTGCCCTCTAACAGGATTGGCACCCTGGTTTCCTTTAGGGGAGCAACATTCATCTAATTCCAGTCCTCCTGGATTGGAGGCAGAGGCAGATATGGGCTAGGGGTGCATGAGTCAGACCTGGTCCAAGAACACATCCCAAAGCCCTGGCACTGAGAGCTGTTCTGAAAAGAGCAGGTGCCTCAAGCCAGCACAAGGGAAGTCAGCTCCCAATTTCTGCCAAAATAGACAGGAAGAGGGAAAATCTCTTTTCAGTGGCACAGTGATAACCAAGATGCTGCCCATCATAGAAAGGCGCAGCTGACAGAGGCAGTCTTGAAAGGTTAAATAAACAAACAAATAAACAAACCAACCAACCTTTGGATCCAGCTGGGCCTGAATCCAGAGCTTGCTTTCCCCTCTTGTTTAAGCTAAAGGGAGTCTTAGTGTTGTTACCTGCAGCCAAAGGAGTGCGCCAAACAAGGCGGGGGAAGCAGGAAGGGAGGGGCTCACCAGCAAATTTGATGGCCGTGATGGAGGAAGAGTGGTCATCCAGGGTCTGCTCCAGGTTGTAGTTCTTCTCCACATTCAGCACATGGATCAGTCGGTCCCGACTGGCTGAGGCCAGCAAGGTCAGCCCTGTGAGTGGACAGGGTAGCCTTGGGTTCCCAGGAGGCTGCTCAATGCCTTGGCCTCCCACACGGCAATGAGACTGGGCTTCCCCAGCCTTGAAGAAGGGGTCTTTGGTTCTGTAACTGCGGCCAACTTGCCCCAAACCCAGGAAGGGACAATTTCCTCAGCTATCTGTAGTCCTGCCCCAGGGCCCCCAAACCCTGGCATTTCACACCCCATGCCACCAGTTCAGGAGGATGAATCTTCACGTACATACGGACACTCTGCCACCTGTACCCATAGCAGACATCCTAGCAGAGCCCAGAGCTTCTTCCTGTCAAGTCCAACTCTTTGGCTTCCCATGTGAAGTCCTGCCAACTTCTCAGGCTCCCCGGAACACTGTTCCCTCACTCTCTGAGCTCTGGGTCTCTGGGTCTCGAAGAGGTCTTACTGATGACCCGCTGCCACACTTCTGCCAGTACGCCCCTCAGACAGTGGTACCCTGGTTGCCTGGCATGTCTGAGGGCTAACACATGACTGGAGGCAGAGGAGAGCTTGGGAAGGATGCACTGAAGACAGATCTAAAGAACTGCGGAGGGTGGGGGAACAGGGTGTTTGAGGAAATGGAGGAGGAAAGAGCGTGGGAAGATTGCTAACGTATCAGGACACGACTCCACCTAAGTTCTATTCCTGCCAAAAATGTATCAGCGAAATGAAATCATGATGAAAACAGACAAACTCAAATCGAAGGAAATTCCATAAAATGGTCTGTACTCTGCAGAAAGCCAAGTCATAAAGACAAATTAAGGCTGTGGAAATATTCCAGAAAAAAGGTGACAAAAGAGCTATGAAAACTCAAGTGTGAACCTGGACTGGAAAAGAAAGGTGCTATAGAGGACAATACTGGGACAGCCAGTAAAATAGGAATAAAGACCACAAAAGGGAGGACTATAGGATAAAGTGAAACCTCCACAACTGATGTGCACATGGCCATGTAAATGGATGTCCTCATTCCTAAGAAATGCTCACAGACCCACTGGAGAGTGAAAGGTCATGTCTTCACTCTCAAAAAAATCAGCAGAAAAAAAAGAAATGAATATGCTACTATTCTATTAGCATGAGTATATGTACACACACATGCATAGAGACAGAAACGGAGATGGGGAAGCAGATTAAGTCATACACACAGTTATAGGGTCATACAGAATTGAAAAGAAAAAAACCCTGAGGAATCTGGGTGAAGAGAACATGGGTATTCATTCTAGTACTCATGTGATTTTTCTGTAGGTATCAAACTTTTTCAAAATCAATATGTTCGATATGTGATCTATAACTGTTGATCTATCTTTTCCAGTGGAGGAGATGAGCTCATCCATACATTCTTTCATTCAGCACTCACCTCTTTAACCTGAGTGCTGTTTGGGGCGCTGAGAACCAGGGCCAGCAAGTCCAGCCCAGTCCTGCCTTCCAGATTCTTGTATTCTAGAATCCCAGCTACCCTGACTCAGGGCCCAGCAACAGGGGCGCTTACACAGCCCCATCAGACATCAACTATCCGTTTCTATGGCTCTGCTGGGGGGCCCTGCTCCCCTGCCTTCCCCCTTCTACCCTGTATAGGTTTACCTGTCTCAGGCTTGGAGTACTCCAGGCACAGCACCTCAGCATCATGGGCTTCCACTTTGAACAGCTCATCCATGAAGTGTAGCTCGTGGATCCTGGGAGACATACTGTCCACTGTACCCTACCCAGAGCCCCCGCCCCTCGGCTCTAGGTGCTCTGCCACTGCTAGAGAATGTCAGAGCTGCCTGTGAGGCAACATGGGGGACTCCCTGCCCTGGCCAGCTAGTCGAGAGATGCCCAACCATTATTTTCCTCTAGAAACCTGCTTTCTCAAAGGTTTGAGAATGGTTTGCCCACCTCAGTGGGTGGGCACCCAGACCCTTATGGCTCCATGGGCCAGGTCTAGGATAGTCCTCTGGGGGAAGAGGAGTGGAGCAGGGTGGTGTCAGAGGAGATCCCTGGGGGTGGGGGAGGGGCTGGAGGTCAGAGGTCAGACTAAGGATAGGACCTATGGGTGGGGAATACTTCACTACAATCTCTCATTCTTAAAGACTCTCAAATCTAAACTTTCCTCGTTCTCTCCAAATGAAATCAAACCACCTACAGGCTATCTAGGATGATATAAGAGCCAGTTATCCCAGGTCCTCCACTCCAGCTGTGTGACCTTAGCTTAGCCACCGGCCTCTCCTGCCTCACTGCCTCATTAACCTATCTGGACATGGAGCTAATACCAGCACTTGCATCAGAGGTGGGTGAAATGACTACGTTGGTTGATGCAGTATCAGGCCACATGGAGCATGTGCTCTCTACCTTCCCCCCCTCAACGGCCTCGGCACCTAGGGGGTCACAGCCATATTCTGTCAGCAGCTACTGGGCCAGTAACATCTTAAAAAAATCTCATAGTGGTGGTAAACAGCCTGAGCTCTCCAATGTCCCATCCTCCTGGCCCCCCTCCCGCACCACCAGGACCCCTCATGCCCCAACTGGCATCCCCTCTGACTATTCAGCACCAGTATCACATGGCTGGTGAAAGTGTCACCCTAGCCTGCAATTGTGCAAGTTTGCCCATCTACAATGCAGGTGCCATTTGCAAGCCCCAGCTGCTGAGGTCCTGGAGCTACACTATCTCAGCCCTCTGGAAGACACTGCTTAGCTTACGTTCTCAGGGATGGGTGGTTTCCAGACTGCCATTCACAGTCCCTCATTCTCAGTGGGGAAGCAGAGGTGCCCAAGTCAGGGCTCCTTCACACCACCCTCAGGACCCAAACCTGAGCTGGGAAGTGTACATTAGTCATCTGCCAGGGCTCACTTGCCTCAGATTTCCACTTCGGTCGCCTGAAGCCAAATGCTGGCCATCAGGACTGACCTGCATGACTCGGACCCCAGCCTTCACATCCACAGGTGTTCCATTCTCACTCCCTCGGTCTGGGAAGTGGGACATGTCCTGCAGGTGCTGGATGTCATTCTCTACATACACAACCTTCAGCAGGGTCTGCAGGGAGGAGAGGGCTGAGGTCAGTGCTCTGGGAAGGTCTGAAGCACATCTGCAATTCTGTCTCCCAATAGCCAGGCTCTCATTCTTCATAGTAACAGAACTCCATTTTTTAAAAAATATTTTATTTATTTATTCATGAGAGACACAGAGAGCGGCAGACATAGGCAGAGGGAGAAGCAGGCTCCCTGCAGGGAGCCCGACGTGGGACTCAATCTCAGGACCCCGGGACCACGCCCCAAACCAAAGGGAGACACTCAACCACTGAGCACCCAGGAGCCCCCAGAACTCCAAATTTAACCTTCTCTACTGAGAATAACTGTTTCCTACCCTCCCCTGCAGCTAGATGAGGCTCTGTGAATAAATTCTGGTCAATGAGATATAAAACAAGTGAGAACCCTTCTGCTTCCTTTTCCTTTGTTCTTCTACCTGGAGCTCTAGCAGCCATATTGGATGACAAGGTCAAGGGCTACTCCAAAATGACAGAGTGGAGAGCTGAAGGCTCTTGGGTCTCTAAGGACTTCCTCCTGTAGCTGCCAAAACAGCTTGGACTGGTTACCTCCAGGCTATTTAGGAGTCAGAAAACCAAACGTTTACCTCTTATTTTGGATTTTCCTGTTGTATGCAGCTAAATGTAACATATCACAGGTATGGAAAAGAAGGTAGTAATACTAGGTGAAGGGGATGAGGGGAGTAAAGGGGCACCTGCTATACACACCCTGCATAAGGGTCAGCCACACTGACCATTCAGGTTTTTCAACTCATCAGACTCTTTCCCACCGGGCCTTTGCACAGGCTAGTCCCTTGGCTTGGACACTCTCCCCTCCCCTCTTTACTCATTCCAATCCTCCATATCTCAGTTGCCTCTTCCCCTAGGAAGCTGCCCTTGACACCACAGATAAAATCATATGACACTTATATATCCTACTAGCATTTCGCAATTTTTTCATGGTGATTATCATGCTTGTGATCATATCATAGGGGCGGCGCCTGGGCGGCTCTGTGGGTTAAGCGTCTGACTCTTGATTTTGGCTCAGGTTATGATTTCAGGGTTGTGAGACTGAGCGCTGCGGTCAGTGAGGAGTCTGAAGATTCTGTCCCTCTGCCCTTTATCACTCTTCCTCTCAAATAAATATTTTTTTAAAATGATTATTTATGGGGTGTTTGGGTGGCTCAGTCGATTAAGTAACTGCCTTTGTCTCAGGTCATGGTCCAGGGGTCCTGGGATGGAGCCACACGTTGGGCTCCCTGCTCAGTGGGGAGTTTGCTTCTCCCTCTGCCCCTCCCCTGCCTATTCTCTTTCTCTCAGATAATAAAATCTTTAAAAATGATTATATCATAATTTGTGCAGTTACTAGTTCACTGCACAGTGCTTAGCATAGATTTTTTTTTTAAAGATTTTATTTATTTATTCATGAGAGACACACACAGAGAGAGAGAAAGGCAGAGGGAGAAGCAGGCTCCATACAGGAAGCCTGATGCGGGAATTGATCCTGGGTCTCCAGAATCACACCCTGGGCTGAAGGTGGCACTAAACTGCTGAGCCACCCAGGCTGCCCCATAGCGCAGATCTTAATAAGCATCTGCAGAGAAGATGAATGCACAATTCACATCTCAGCTCCTAAGAGAAGCTCCCTCACCGACCTAGCAATATCAACTATTTCTTCAGCAAAGTTTTCTCTATATCCTCCCATCATGGCTCTCTTTGGGGTCCTGCCAGCACCCTCACCCAAGGCTTCACAGTTTGGCAGCAAGGTAGACAGGGGACGCCTCTCCCTGGTTTGGTCCACCAGGTGCTCTTCCAGGAAGTTCTGACTTAACACTTAGGGTACAATTTCATTTCTTTTTTTTTTTTTTTTAATTTTCTTTTATTTATTTATGATAGTCACACACAGAGAGAGAGAGGCAGAGACATAGGCAGAGGGAGAAGCAGGCTTCATGCACCGGGAGCCCGACGTGGGATTCGATCCTGGGTCTCCAGGATTGCGCCCTGGGCCAAAGGCAGGCGCTAAACCGCTGCGCCACCCAGGGATCCCTACAATTTCATTTCTATTGAATATGGCAAGTTGCCTGGAGTAGCTGTGTTGACACATACCTGGACGGCAGGAGCTGACTGGAAGAGAGAAGCCGAGAGGAGAGACCATGCTACTTCAGAAAGAAATAAAAGGAGAGAGAAAGAAACGAGAGAGGGAGACACAGAGTGCTTCCTGGTCCCTGCATCCAGGAAAGCTTAACACCAGGATCCATAGGATTCTCTCCTACCCCTCTATCCTAGCTTAAAGTACATCTCTGTTCCTCCTAAAATATGGTTCACAATTAAGCCACTCACGTTACTGAAGATATTCTTCTGCCATTCAGAGTCGGGACTGCTATTCATGTTCCAAAAGCGGATGGTGTTGTCTGAGGAACAAGTAAGAAAAGATCCTGATGGCAGACAAGCTCTCTGATCTTCAAACTCAGGATACACCTACAGTTCCCAGAGAATAAGGCAAAGAGTGATTCATTACAACCATTTCCATGACAGCACTGGGATATTCTATTGTATTTTGGTGGAAAAAAGAAAAGGCATGTTGCAGATAAACAGGCATAGTGTAATGTCTTCTATGTTAAAAATAAACAAGAAAAAAAGGACACTACATGCTACCATATGTTGTCCATGCACCATCTTCAGCCCAGGTCATGAAACATCCTCGCACATAAATTTCCAAGGCAAATGGGCAGCCCAGTCAAAAATCACTAAGCAAAAAAGGAAACAAGGTACCATGGGCAAGAAGCAGCAGAAAAAACAGTCCACCTTCAAATACTGGAAAATCAGACAGAATATAAAATAACTCTGTTTAATGTGTTTAAAGAAATAGAAGAACTTTGACAAAAGAGTAGTCAACCATAAACTAGAAAGAATAACCAAGCAAACCTGAAAAAGAACAAAACAGAACTATTTCTAAAAAACAAAATACAGCTCAGAGAGTCAGAGAGATAACATATAAAGGAATTTCAAAATATGGAACACTGAGTTCTGAGATGATAATAGCAGCAGCAGAGATTTTTTTTAATCTAAAAAACCCACACAAGGCACCTAGGTGGCTCAGTTGGTTAAACATTCGACTCTTGGTTTTGGCTCAGGTCATGATCTCAGGGTCATAGGGCTGAGCCCTGCCTCAGACTCTGCACTCAGCTTGAGTCTGCTTGAAGATTCTCTCCCTCTGTCCCTCCCCCAACTCGCACACATGCACTCTCTAAATGATTAAATTTAAAAAATCCCCACATAAAAATGAGTGACCAAAACCACATGAACAACAATACAGCAAAACTAGGTGATAAGATATTCTCTTAACTCCCAAAAGATAAACAGGTAGGGACAAACTACCTCTAGTCATAAGATCTACACATCATCAACATGTGTATGAGAGAAAGTAGAGGGAAGCAATGAAGACCCTGACAGATCCAACAAAGGATAACCCAAAGTAGCCAACAGGTATTCATGGGAAGGTACAACAGGCCAAACAACAGTTTAAATTGGGAGGGTTTTATCCTCTCCAATAGTGGTTTAACTGCAAGGTTTGGCAGTTAGGTCTGAAGGGGAGTTTGAAGAAATAGTTGATTTTGCTAGGTCAGTGAGGGAGCTTTTAGGAGGTGAGATGTGAATCAAATCAGGAGGGTTTCATCTTCTTCAATAGTAGCTGAGTGCCAGGTTTGGCATTTAGAAGTCTGGAGCAGTGAAGCCCATAAACTCAAAACTGACCTGCCAGGGCTCTCTTTGAGGACAAAGGCCTATCCTAGGGCAAACTACTGAGTGGAAACAAAACTGATCAGGAGGGGATCCCTGGGTGGCGCAGCGGTTTGGCGCCTGCCTTTGGCCCAGGGCGCGATCCTGAAGACCCGGGATCGAATCCCACATCGGGCTCCCGGTGCATGGAGCCTGCTTCTCCCTCTGTCTGTGTCTCTGTCTCTGTCTCTCTCTCTCTCTCTGTGACTATCATAAATAAATAAAAATTAAAAAAAAAAAAAAAAAAAGAGAGAGCCAGGAGAGCCAGAGTAAAGGGGAGGCTTAGAACAAAGTAGAGGTACACATAAACAGGAACATAACAAGGAAATATCAAAAGGCAAGCTGCCATATTTTTTTAAACAGTATAAAAATCATGGAAGATGGAATTTTTTCCTGAGAAGTAGGAAAATGTTCTGAACACCAACTTCTATGTTTTGTTATTTTTTTAAGGAATGTCTATACCCAAGATGGAGCTCAACCTCACAATCCCCAGATGAAGTCTCATGCCAGGCACGCCACAAACTATACCAACTTCTAAAAATTCGGAAAAACTAGTATTACATAAAAAGGAAACAAAAAAAGGACCAAACTCAAGTCCCAAACAAAGTTAAAATAAAATGAAAAGAAAGAAAGCACACCAGAAACATATTTCCACAAAACAAATCAAAACTGTAACTTACTATTTCAAGATAAGCTAGAAGACATTAAGAAAATGATCTGAGATATGGATAGCAACCTAAATCACAATTAGAAAAACCAGAAATAAAGGATGCCTGGGTGGCTCATGACCTGTTCCTGACAAGTCTTCCAAAGAATGAACTCTGAACTACAAAAACAACTGGAGATGTCAACAAATGTCTATATGTAAATACCTGTTACTTGTAGAACAAAGAATAAATATGGGTCAAGTGACATCACTGAAAATGGCACAGTAGGGAACTCCAAAAACTATCCCTCCACCAAAGCAACCTTAAGCTGGAAAAAAACTATCAGAATCAACTTTTTCAGAACCCCGAATCTAACTTACAATAACCAGGAGGAGCTTAAAAAAGAAAGAAGCTGCTGAATTTTGACATTTAAGGAAACTACTGTCAAATCATTAGTTGACTACTCAGATAATGGAAAAGAGACTTCAGTGACCACACATGAAAAAGAATACAATCTTTACAAAAGTAGTTCAGAAAAATCACTAAACAATTACAACCCACATAACAAACCCTAGCGGGGAGGAGAATTTGATTGCCAGAGTCATCACATTATAATAGTCGAAATACCCAGTTTTCAACAAAAGAATAATGAAAGAGAAGAAAAGAAGAAAGCACAGCCCATTCATAGGAAAACAGAAATTAAGAGAAACTGCCTGAGGAAGCCCAGATTGGACTTATTAAACAAAGAAGTTAAATCAACTGTCTTATATATACTGAAAAAGATCAAGGAAATTGTGGACAAAGGACTAAAGGAAACCAGAAGAACAATGTCACATCAAAAATGCAATATCAAAAAAAATTAAAAAAAGGAACCAAATAGAAATCTAGAGCTGTAAAGTATAATAACTAAAATAAAAATTCAGTAGGGTTCAACTGCAAATTTAGTGAGCAAAAGAATGAATCAGTGAAGCAAAAATAGGTCAATTGAAATTACCCAGTCTAAGGATCAGAATGAAAAAATTTTAAGAAAAATGAGTAGAACCTAAGGAACCTACACAAGACCACAGACAACATCAACATCCACACGTAGAAGTCTAGAAAGAAAGAGGCACAAAAAAATATTTGAAAAAATAGAGGCTAAAACCTCTCAAATTTGATGTAAGACATGTATCAACACATTCAAGAAGCTGAAAAAACTCCAAGCAGGATAAACAGACTAAAAAAGATTCATGTCAAGACACATCACAAATTACTGAAAGCCAAAAGCCAGACAAAATCTTGGAAGCAAAAAGAGATAGATGACTTATTCCATACAAAGGATCTTCAATAAAATTAACAGTTGGTGTCTCAACAGAAACCATAGAAACCAGAAGGCAGTGGGACAACATATTTAAAGTACTACAGAGAAAAAAATGTTAACCAAGAATTCTGTACCTTGCAAAACTACCCTTTTTTTATAATAAATTTATTTCTTATTGGTGTTCAATTTGCCAACATACAGAATAACACCCAGTGCTCATCCCGTCAAGTGCCCCCCTCAGTGTCCGTCACCCATTCACCCTCACCCCCCGCCCTCCTCCCCTTCCACCACCCCTAGTTCGTTTCCCAGAGTTAGGAGTCTTTATGTTCTGTCTCCCTTTCTGATATTTCCCACACATTTCTTCTCCCTTCCAAAACTACCCTTTAAACATGAAGGAGTGGGCAGCCCAGGTGGCTCAGCGGTTTAGCGCCGCCTTCGGCCCAGGGCGTGATCCTGGAGACCCGGGATGGAGTCCCACATCAGGCTCCCTGCATGGACCCTGCTTCTCCCTCTGCCTGTGTCTCTGCCTCTCTCTCTCTGTGTCTCTCATGAATAAATAAATAAAATCTTAAAAAATAAAAATAAAAAAAATAAATAAACATGAAGGAGAGGGGGAACCTAGGTGGCTCAGTTGGTTGAGCGCCTGCCTTTGGCTCAGGGTGTGATCCCTATCTGGGGATTGAGTCCCACATCAGACTCCCTGCAGGGAGCCTGCTTCTCCCTCTGCCTATATCTCTGCCTCTCTCTCTGTGTCTCATGAATAAATAAAATCCTTAAAAAAAAAAAAAAAGTTTTGGGATCCCTGGGTGGCTCAGCGGTTTAGCATCTGCCTTCGGCTCAGGGCGTGATCCCAGAGTCCCAGGATGGAGGCCCACATCGGGCTCCCTGCATGGAGCCTGCTTCTCTCTCTGCCTGTGACTCTGCCTCTCTCTCTCTCTCTGTCTCTCATAAATAAATAAATAAAGTCTTAAAAAAAAAAAAAAGACAGCTCTAGGGAAATTATCAATAAGGAAACAGAGGCCTGCAAAAAACACTATAAACCAAACAGATTAACAAATGTATAAAGACTATGCCACCCAATAACAGCAAAATCCATGTTCTCAAGTGAACATGGAACATTCTCCAGAACAGACCACACATTAGGTAACAAAATAAGTCAATACATTTTAAAAAAACTGTAATTATACAATCTTCTCCAACCACAATTGGAATGAAATTACAAATAACAGTAGGAAATTTGGAGAATTAACAAATACATAAATATTAAACCATACACTTTTACACAATCAATGGGTCAAAGAAGCAATCAAAGAGAAATTAGAAAATACTGTCAGACAAATGAAAATGAAAACACAATATACCAAAATTATGGCATGCAGCAAAAGCAACGCTCAGAGAGAAACTTACAGCTCTAAATGCCTACATTAGAAAAGCAGGCTGACAGGACGCCTAGGAGGCTCAGCAGTTGAGTGTCTCTGTCTTTGGCTCAGAATGTGATCCTGGAGTCCTGGGATCGAGTCCCACATTGGGCTTCCTGCATGGAGCCTGCTTCTCCCTCTGCTTATGTCTCTGCCTCTCTGTGTCTCTTATGAATAAATAAATAAATAATCTTTTTTTTAAAAAAAAAAGCAGATTGGGGCTCCTGGGTGCTCAGTTGGTTAAGTGTCTACCTCAGCTCAGGTCATGATCCCAGAGTCCTGAGTCCACTCCTTGTTCAGCAGGGTATCTGCTTCTCCCTCTGCCCCTCCCTTGCT